CGCCAGCCAGGCTGGGGCGGGCGGCCCCGCGCTCCCCGGCAGGCTGGGGCGCTGCCCCTGGGCCCCGGGTCGGCGCGGGCGACGCTGCGATATCGTGGGCGGGTGCCGCCATCGCCGCTCTGCTCCCCGGCCCTCTCCCCGGGGGTGGCGTCCTCTGGCCAGGGCCAGGCCCCTCGAGGCGAAAGCCCAGCGGCGATGCGACGAGGGGCCTCCCATGGGAGGCCCAGTAGCAGGGCACACGAGGGAAGGGCGGCGGTGATCGAGAAAGGAAGACGGCACAGGCATAAACTGTTGGTGCTCTGCGCGGGGTTGTTGGAGCTGCCCTGGACCTCCCTCCCTGGCGCGCGGAGCGCGCCAGGGGCGGCGCCGGAGGCGCCGCCGGGAGGGCGCCAGCGCGGATCCGAGAAACCCGCGCAGAGCGCCAAAAGTGTATGTTTATGTTGCTGTTTCTTCTTCGATTCTGGCCTCGGGCCTCCAAAGACCAGGAGCCGCCGAGGCGAGGCGGGCGCGCCCGGGGGCGATGCCCGGGCTACGTGGCGGCGCGCACAAAGGGGGTATGTGGGGGAGGGGGGTGGCTTCTGCTGCTTCCCAGAGGGCGCCGGCCCTGCGTCTGCGGAGAAGGCCCGCGCCTTCTAGGGCGCAGCCTCCTTCGGGGATGGACAGACCTCCCGTTAGCAAAACGTGGCTTAGTGAAAACGACCTCGGGCCCAAACCTGGCGGGCGCAAGCCTGGAAAATGACGGCCGCGGCGCCCTCTCGAGAACCGAAAACGGACAATTCACTAATCGACGTGTCGGGGTAGGAGGTCTGTCCACCCCCGACTCCTTCTATAAGGAGCTGTCCCCCCCCCCCCATACCACCCTCTGCGCTTAAGTCGGGCCTGTCCGCCTACAGGGGGATTTTCGATGAAACATTAAAAAATACCCCAATAATGCCCCAAAAAGGTCAAAACATACTGAAAAAATAGCCCCCAGACTATTTTTGGATTATGTTCTGGCTATTTGGGAGGTATTTTTTTATTTTTCGTCGCAAATCCCCCTGTAGGGGGACAGGCCCGACTCAACTCTGCGCGTGGCCGCGGAAGCCCAGGCCACACGCCGCAGCGCGGGGGGGGAGTGGGCGGGGGAAGCGCCCGCCGACAGCCTATCCAGCCTTGTCGCCTGGCAAGACTTTCGAGGATTAATCCTGCCGTGGCGACGAGGAAGGAACCCCGAGGCTGGAAGGAACCCCGAGGCTGGAACCCCGAGGCTGGAACCTCCCCCCGCAGTCCCTCTCATGTGAAGGGGCCCTGGGACACTCAAATAAATACACACAAATAACAGGATCCCCCATATTTCCCATATTTTCAGGGCTTTGGTCTTCCCCCCCACTTCCCATGTTTTCCCGCATTTCCCTGGGAGTCGACGATGAATTGTGTCTGTGTGTTTCGTTTCCTCCTGATATCCAGCCTTGTCGCCGTGGGCAGCCCCACGTGCCCAGACCTCCCGCGTATTGACAAAAATCGAGGCGGAGGTGTTTCTCGACGTTCGGCCTCCATCGGGAGCGGCCGAGAGGGGGGTGTCCAAGAGGGGGGGGGGGTGCAGATCATGGCCGGCGGCAGGTGCGCGGCCCAGTCGGGGGGAGGCCAGGGGCGTAACGAAGTAAGAAGAGGCGCCACGACATCTGGGAAACATCGTGGCCCACGCCATGAGATCCCCCCCCCGCCCTAGTCATCCCCCCCCTCTCTGCCGCCCCCGGCTCTCCAGGGGCCCTCGCCCGGCCCCGGGACCGGCAGAGAAGGACTCGGGATGAAAAACCAGTCCTGGGGAATGGGTCCTCCTCCTCCTCCTCCTCCTCCTCCTCCTCCTCCTCCTCCTCCTCCTCCTCCTCCTCCTCCCTCATCGCCTTCCTCCTCCTCCCTCATCGCCTTCCTCTCCTCCTCCTCCTCCTCCTCCTCCTCCTCCTCCTCCTCCTCCTCCTCCTCCTCCTCCTCCCTCCTCCTCCCTCCTCTTCCTCCATCCTCCTCCTCCTCCTCCCCCCTTCGGACCTGCGCAGCCGACAGGGTCGGGTTACCCAGGGGGGGAGGCGGGGGGACGGGCGGGCCCGGAAAAAAAAACAGAGTATCGCCGGACACTTGCCCTGCTGTCACGGTCAGCAGCGCCCCGACAGAGAGGGAGCACAAGCGCATCGAGAGACGCGAGCAGCAGATGGCTCGCGCGCACCCACCAAGAGCGTCGCAGCTCTCCTGAGGTGCATTCTGGCCAGACTTTCGAGGACAGCCCTGCCGTGGCGACGAGGGCCCTCCAGAACGAGCAGCGGCATCGGCATCTCCTCCTCACCTGAAGTCCGTCCCATGCCGCTGCCCCTGGCTTCCGAGCAGTGTGGTGCCGCTCGCGACGATCCGAGGAACGCGCTCTGCGAGGCGCAGCTGCCGAGAGGAACCCCGAGGCTCATGAGCCTCTTACGCCACAATGGCTACGGACGGTGGAGGAGGAGGAGGAGGAGGAGGAGGAGGAGGAGGAGGAGGAGGAGGAGGAGGAGCAGGATGAGGAGGGGGAAGAGGAGGAGGAGAGGAAGAGAGGAGGAGGAGGAGGCGGAGGAGGAGGAGGAGGGAGGAGGCGGAGGAGGAGGAGGAGAAGGAGGATAATGAGGATGAGGCGGAGGAGAGGAGGAGGAGGAGGAGGAGGAGGAGGAGGAGGCGGGGCGGAGGAGGAGGAGCAGGATGAGGAGGGGGAAGAGGAGGAGGGAAGAGATGAGGAGGAGGAGGAGGCGGGAGGAGAGGCGGAGGCGGAGGAGGCGGAGGAGAGAAGGGATAATGAGGATGATGATGATGAGGAGGAGGAGGAGGAGGAGGAGGCGGGGGCGGAGGAGGAGGCGGAGGCAGAGGAGGAGGAGGAGGAGGAGGACGACGAGGAGGAGGAGGAGGAGGAGGAGGAGGAGGAGGCGGGGGCGGATGAGGAGGCGGAGGCGGAGGAGGAGGAGGAGGAGGAGGAGGAGGAGGAGGGGGAGAAGCAGAAGAAGAAGAAGGAGAAGCATAAGAAAATGAGCAGCTTCTACCTCCCCCCGCAGTCCCCCTCGTGAGCCAGCCACCCCCTGCCGCTGCCCCCGAGTGCTCCTCCTCCTCCACCCGCGAGCGAGGCCCCCGTGCCCATCATGCCCCCAGCACTCGCAGAGAGAGAGAGAGAGAGAGAGATAGAGGAAAGAGAACTGTGCACATACAGTCAAAAACCCTAATAAGGACGCGCGGTAAGGACGCAAGACCCTTGGAAGCCGAAGTTGGGATTTTTGGGGCGGCGGACGACGATAACCTCAAGGACGCAAGAGCAAGGAAGAGCAAGGACGCAAGGGTACCCTGAGCAAGGTCGCGCGTCCTTTATTAGGGTCTTTGACTGTACACCGATTCTGGCCAGGCCCATGCTGACGCCCAGGATCGGGGCACACGCCCTCCCGCCCAGGCCAGGAAGGAATACAGTCGGCGCGTTGACCTAAGGAACCCTAAATAAGGAACGAGGCCCCTTTTTCCCATACGTTAAACTTCGACTTCCCATGGAAAACCTGAGGAGAACCTCAGGCAAACTGTTAAACAATCAAGGAACACCGAGCCCCTCCCCAACGGAAAGGGTTCCTTCTGCAGCGCCCCGACTGCACATGCACCTCATCCTGGGGCCAGGATGGGCCTCTTGCTGGGACCGGTGCACGTGCACGGCTCCCTCCGCCCGAGGAGGGGGGAGGAGGCCCCAAAGGTGGCCTCGGACAGCAGGTCGCGCTCCCGCGCGACCAGCACCGGCACCTCGCCGGCGCCGCGCCACCGCGGGGGCTGCGCGCAGGAGGGAGGGGAGCGCCCCGCGGCCCAGGCTCTAGTCGGGCCGGTCCCCCTGCAGAGGTGATTTTCGACGAGAAATCAAACATGCCCCAAAAATAATCAAAAAATAATCCGAAAATAGTCTGGGGACTATTCTTGGAATATTTTTTGACCTTTTTCGGGTACTTTTCGGGTATTTCTTCTTTTCGTCGAAAATCCCCGTGTTGGGGGACACGCCCGACATAAGCCTAGGTTTCCGACGATCTGCTTTTTCCACCATCCCCGCGTGCTTCCTCGATCTCGGTCCCATATGGGGTTCGTGACCGGGCCCCATGGGGCCACCACGAATCTGGATCCGTGGCGGAAAAAGCTGCCCCCGAAGGCGCGGATTGGAAGGTGAACGTTTCCTTAGTCGGCGTGTCGACATTGGGCGGAGGGGGGGGTCTGGCTCCAGACCCTTGCTTACTGCGACTGTTTGCAACAGTGCGTCCTATGGGGGACACTCCACCCGCTTGAACCATGCACCCAAAACAGCCAAGATCTACTCCATGGGGGGGGGAGGGGTGGGTGCGAGGGCCCGCGCCGACAGGCAAAACAATGAATGGGAAAACGATCACAAGAAGCTCGTGCCGCAGGGATGTCTGGGAGGAGCGCCCAGCTGTGCAGCGTCGATGGGGGAAGAGAAAGATAGAGGCCTCCCAGGTGGGGTCGGAGAAGATGGGATCGGGAAGATCGCGCAGCATCGTCGATGCATCATCGATGCATCGGCGATGCCTCGGGGACGCCGGCGATGCCTAGGCGACGCCGGTGTAGAGAGCATTGGGACCCACACCGGCTAGCATCACCGATGCATCGGCGATGCAACTCCTACACAGCTCGACCCTCCGACCCCATCTGCTCTGATCCCGTCTGGGAGGCAAAGAAGAAGAAGAAGAAGAAGAAGAAAGCAACAGAGTCGCTTGCGTGAGGCGCTGGGTGCGCTGGATGTCCCGGGTGTCGGGTGCGCTCGGCGCCGGGTGTGCGCCGCGGGGGCGCTCCGCGCTGGGTTGCTGGGCGCCGCGGGCGTGCCGGGTGTGTCGGGTGCGCCAGGTGCGCCGGGTACGCCGGGTACGCCAGGTGTGCCGGGTGCGTTTGGCGCCGGGTGTGCCAGGTGTGCGGCGTTCGGCGCGGGGGTTCCCGGGTGCGCCGGGAGTGCCCGTGCGCCAGGTCCTTGTTCTTCTCCTCCTCCCCCTCCCACTCCTCCTCCCACTCCTCCTCCTCCTCCTCCTCCTCCTCCTCCTCCTCCTCCTCCTCCTCCTCCTCCTCCTCCTCCTCCTCCTCCTTCGTTTCCACCGCAAGGTTGCACGCGGATCCACCCCGAATGAGTTGCAAGAGCACGTTCAACTTCGTGGGCAAATTCATCACGACCTTGGAGAAACGCACTGGTCGCCCCGGGGGCTTTCCCTGCGTTGCCTTTGCCTGCGAGCACGGACTTCTGAACACGGTGCTGCTCACCGAGTGGCCCGTGACGGGTGCACGTAACGTGGGCTGTAGGATACAAGAGCTCCTTGTGGCATTCACTCGTGCCCACACCTCCTCGCTCGCATGCGCGCGCGGGCATGATTTTTTGCGACGTCGGCGTCGCTCGGAGGGGCGGGAGCAGGCAACACGAGGGTCTGGGCCCCCTGGGGGGCCTCAGATCTGCCTTGAGCGCCAGCGCGCTCCCCCAACACTTTTGTTGATCTGCAGGGCGAGAGCGAACCTCTTCCGCTGAAGGCCAAGCGGGACGCGCACAGCTTCAACTAGCAGAGAAGGGGCGGAAGAGGGCGGCGCTCTCCCAGCACGCCGGCCACGCCATCCCCGAAGGATGCCCCACGTGAAACACGCTGCCCAGGACAACAGCTGGCCATCGCTCGGACGTCCATTCCCTGTGCTTTTTTTCCGGTTTCGTGCGTGGCTTTTTCGCCAGATGATCAAGGATGCTCCTCGATGGCCCTCGCCAAAGGAAAAATGCACACGTCCGAGCGATGCCAAGACAGATGAGGACCGGCACGGCAGACGAGCGCGCCAGAGCAGCAGGTCGGAACAGTGCGGCGGATCGGCTGCGCGATGCCCTTCCTCGCCTCGTCCGAGCGCACGGGTGGCGCGATGCCCTCCCTCCGCCTCGCCGACGGCTCTCGGCACACGAAGCCACTTGCGCCCTTGTTTACAACTCAGGCGCGATGACGGGATGGGCCGAACGCCACGATACACGTCCCAGCCACGACTCTGGGAGCTAGCGGCGAGCCACCGCTCTGGGAGCTGGCGTCCATCAGTAGCGTGCTTGCGAGGCACGAATTACTACCACTCGGGCTTAGGCTCCTCATCCACATCCCCAGCCACTCCTCCGTCTCATCCCCCTCCTACTGCTACCGTTTCTCCTGCCCCCCGTGCCAAACCCGCGCGAGAGATGCACCTCCTCCTCCTCCTCCTCCTCCTCCTCCTCCTCCTCCTCCTCCTCCTCCTCCTCCTCCTCCTCCCTGCCCCCCGTGCCAAACCCGCGCGAGAGATGCACCTTCTCCTCCCCTCCTCCCTCCTCCTCCTCCTCCTCCTCCTCCTCCTCCTCCTCCTCCTCCTCCTCCTCCTCCTCCTCCTCCTCCTCCTCCTCCCCCTCCCCCCCCCCTTTCCCTCCTCCTCCTGATCCTCTCTCCCGCCCGCCAGCGATCCCACCAGATCCGTGCGTCCGGCGTCTTCGCTCCAGTGCTCGCCCTGTGGAGTGGTCATGCCCAGACCATGACAAGGTTATGGCGAGTTTGGGGCCTGTTCCGTAGCCCCCCTCAGGGGGTTCGCAGCCGAGGGCGATGTTGTCCCAAGAACACGGAGTTCTTCCACGACGGCGGGATGCTCCGCGGCGTCAAAAGGCCGTGGCCTTATCCAAATAAGGCACCGTCTGCAAGCTGACATTTTGAAGACCAGTGCAACTGCCTCGAATGTGAACAAATTCGCATACGCTGGATCATTGACGTAGACGACATGAAGCAATTTCGGAAGACATGTGGAACCCCCTTCGACCCGAACCCGCGAAAGAAATACTCCAGGAGAGTGGAAATAACCAAGAAACCCGGACCTCGGCAAGCTCATCCGAATCGCTATGTTCGGGAAAGCCTCGATCACTCGGAATTGCTCGTGCTCTGTGAACCCTCTTTCCGCCAAACCGTACTTGCAGTAAGGGGTCTTACTTGTCGAGTCAGGAATTAGAAATTCGACGACCCAACGGGCCAAACGCGTAATTGCACTTTCGCTCAACATGTCGCGACACAGGCAATTCCAAAGGCAGGAGGGCGGCGGAGTCTTCGGCAATTCTGATCTCACTACCATACCAAGGCAGATAGTTCAATGCTGCGAGAACCTGCGATAGCCCCTTGCAAAACCATACGGAGATTTCGTGCGTGTATGTGTGTGTGTGTGTGCTCGTGTGGGTTTTCCTCGTCCCGAGTGTCACCTCCGCAGTACCCCCCTCTTCGGCCGCCTCCCTCCCTCTCCACTCACCCTGTGCAAATTCGCTGGTCGGCATCCCCACCCAGCTTTTTACTTCTCTGTGCGAGTGCCAGGCCCGCGACTAACAAACATGTGCGTTTTCCTTACTGGGAGAAAATCAAACAAACAAAAACGCGGCCCCCCCTCCCTGGCGCGCGGAGCGCGCCAGGGGCGGCGCCGGAAGCGACACCAGGGGGCCCCAGCGTGGATCCAAGACAATCTGCGCGGAGCGCCAACAGTTTATGCTCATGACGTCATTTCTTCTTCGACTTCCTTGGCCTGCCTCTCCTGCTTTACCCCGATCTGCCTGCACCGCTCGATCCAGCCTGCGCCTCGGAAAGCCTCAGACATGCGCCAACGGTATACCTCACACACACACACACAGCAGGCCCGGCACCTGCCCGTCCACGAGCTTCACGCGCTTCAGCGCGTATCTGAAGCGCGTCATCCGGTGCTCCACGCACCGGACGGAACCAAATGCGCCGCTCCCGATGACTCTGACGTGCCGGAGGTCCTGCGCGTGGAACCTCAAGCTTACGATTGCGCTTTCTGGGAAGAAGAGGGCGACGGGGAGGGCGACGTGGGGCGTAAGGGAGGGAGACATCGGGTGAGACATGCGGCAGGGCAATGGAAGAGTACGAGGATGATGACGAGAAGAACGAGAGCAACGACGAGTAGGCAGAAGAAGACCATACACGAGTAAGGCAAGACGGAGAATTCAAAGAGGAGGACAAGAGGAGGATAATAGAGACTGAAAGGGAAAAGGAGACGAAAAAATATGCTGATACTAGAGATGCACGTGGAGTTCTCCTCGGGCGAAGAAACACAAACATCAGACAGAGAGAGAGAGAGAAGAGGAGAGAGAGGAATAGAAACAGAGAGAGGGAGAGAGGAAAGGAGGGAGAGAGCGAGGGACATGCACATGTGTATAGGTGTATCTATCTATATCTATACATGGCATCCGCCACCGTGCCCCGAGCCACGAGTTGGAGTGTCCTCAGATCCTTCGAGCCCTCAGTTTTCAGCTATAGAACATGCAGGGGCCCAGACTCCTACTCGCCAGATGCCCTGGAGCTGTCCACGCGCCCGGGCGTGCTGGGGCGTTGTCCCCGCGCGACTCCTCTGGAGCCAGGAAGGCTCCCATACGGGCCAAGAGGGCCCCAAGCTGCCCCCGAGACGGTCCAAGAGGGCCCCGAGTCGGCCCAAGAGCGCTCCGAGATGCCCAAGATGAATCAAGACAGCCCCTCAAGACGTCCTGAGAGGCAAGAGAGCTCCAAGAGACATAAGTCATGTGTCTGTTCGTAGGTTTTCCAGGGACTTTGGAGTTGCCGCCTTTTTCGGGATCCGACTGACGAAGACGACCCGAAAGGCACGCGAGATCGCCCCAAGACGGCACAAGAGTCCCGAGACGGCCCCAAGAGGGACCCCAGAGGGGGAAAACGAACCGACATTTTGAGCCCTCCGCCTCAAGATGAATCCCGAGACCGCCAGCAGGCCCCAAAGGGCCCTCTGGAAGCTCTAGGAGGCCCCCCAAGAAGCCAAAATCAGGCCCCAAGAGGCCCCCAAGAGGCCCCCGAGAGGTCCTCAAGATACTCCAAAGACGCTTCTAAGAGGCTTCCGAGATGCCTCCCACGAGATCCATACAGGCATTCAAGAGGCCTCTGTGCCTTGGTGGCGGGACGGGCCGAAATCCGTTAGATCCGCCGCCCCCTGCTGGCTTGCCACAGGGGTGCCCAGCGTGCTGAATGCTGTACGGGTTGGTTTGGGTTCTTTTTCCAAAAGAACTCCGCCTGGGGCTTCGGCCCAGCGCGCCGGCCACCCGAAAGCCCGCGGAAAAAGTACACTCCGACGGCTTCCTTTTCCAATATGGCCCCCATATGGCCCCCAAGACGGCTAAGATGGCCCAACATGGTCCAAGATGGCCTCCAAGACGGCCCAAGCGGGTCCAATACGCCTGCAAGTCCGCCCAACAAGCATCCAGGACGGCCCAAGATAGCCTCAAGATGGCCCAAGACGGTCCAAGAGGCCTCCAAGAGGGCCTTCAGGAAGGCCCGACGAAGCAAAATCATTGATTTTCCTTAGGTGTGTGATGGATTGTGGCATTTGCTTATTTTCGGCCTTCTGACGGCCCGAGGCGGCCCAAGAGCCCCCGACAATCGCGCCAAGATCGCCCAAGAGGCCCCCAAGACGGCCCCAAGAGGGCCCCAAGACGGCCCAAGCGGCCTCCAAGATGCCCAAGATGGCCTCCAAGACGGCCATCGAGCACCCCAAGAAGGCTCCAAGTCGGTCCAGAGAGGCCCCCCAAACGGCTTCCGACGGCGTCAGACGGGCCAGGAGTCCACCAAGACAACCCAAGATGGCTCCAAGATGGCCCAAGACGGCCCAAGAGGCCCCCAAGAGGCCTCCAAGACGGCTCAAGAGGCATCCAAGAGGGCCTCCAGGAAGGCTCGGAGAGGCCCACGTCATTGATTTTCCGGAGGCTGTTGAAGGAGTTTGGTGTTCGCTTCTTTTCGGCCTTCCGACGGCCCGAGACGGCCCAAGAGCCCCCAAAAGTCGCCCCGAGAGCGCCCTAGAGGCCTCCAAGATGGCCTCCAAGACGGCCCATAGAGCACCCCAAGAAGGCTCCAAGTCGGCCCAGAGAGTCCCCCCAAACGGCTTCCGACGGCGTCAGACGGGCCAGGAGTCCACCAAGACAACCCAAGATGGCTCCAAGATGGCCCAAGACGGCCCAAGAGGCCCCCAAGAGGCCTCCAAGACGGCTCAAGAGGCATCCAAGAGGGCCTCCAGGAAGGCTCGGAGAGGCCCACGTCATTGAGCCCAGGACAGCCCGAAAGCCCCGCAAGATCGCCCTAAGATCGCCAAGAAGCCTCCAAGATGGCCCCATGACGGCCCAAGAGGCCCCCAAGACGGCCCCAAGAGGTCCCCAAGACGGCCAAGAAGATCTTCAAGACGACCAAGATGGCCTCCAGGACGGCCCTGACTCGTTCCAAGAGGGCACCACGTCGGCCCAGAGAGGCTCCCAAAACGGATCCCGACGGCGTCAGACGGGCCAGGAACGCCCTGAGACAGGCAAAGAAGCCTCCGAAAAGCCCCAACAGGCTCCCAAGAGGCCCAAGGAGGCCCCAAAGATGCCTCCAAGAGGCTCCCACGAAGTTCCCAGGAGGCCCCAAGAGTGCTCCCAGAGAATCCCAAGATGCCCCCTCCTCCTCCTCCTCCTCCTCCTCCTCCTCCTCCTTTCTCCTGCTCCTCCTTCTCCTCCTCCTCCTCCTCCTCCACCTCCTCCCCCTCTTGTTGCTCGTCTCCTCCTTCTCCTCGTGCTCGTCTTGTCCTCCTCCTCCTCCTCCTCCTCCTCCTCCTCCTCCTCCTCCTCCTCCTCCCCGTGCTCCTCCTCCTCCTCCTCCTCCTCCTCCTGATCTTCCCCTCCATCCTCCCCAAAATGCTCCCTGAAGCTTTTCCACAACGGCTGGGTGAACACATGGTCCGATAGATTGGCAGAGCTCTTGCCACAACGCTTGGCTAGTTGGGCGATTCCAGAAGGCAGGGGGCGGCGGTGATTTGCCGTAGGCGTCTCCCATCTGCCGCCCCCTGCTGGCTTGTCACAGGGGTGCCTGGCGTGCGAGACTTTAGGAGGCTCTTGGTTCTTTTAGAACTCCCCCTGGGGCTTCGGCCCAGCGCGCCGGCCACCTGGAAGGCTTGCCCAGAGGTGGTTGCAAACGTTGTCCCGCTCCAGATGACTCCAAGATGGCCTCCAAAGCGGCCCAAAATGGCACTCAAGTTCGCCCAAGATGGTCAAGGATGGCCTCCAAGACGGCCCAAGAGCATCCTCCAAGACGGCCCAAGCGCATCCAAGATGCCTCCAAGGTTGCCCAAGAAGCCTCCAAGGCGGACAAAGATGGCCTCGAAGTGACGAAATACGGCCCAAGAGGCCCCCAAGAGGCCTCCAAGACGGCCGAGGAGGGCCCCAGGAGGGCCTCCAGGAAGGCCCGAAGATGGCAACATCATGAATGTTCCTATGGTTTTTGAAGGGTTCTATTATGTGCTTATTGTCGGCGAATGACGGCCGCGACCGCCCTCTCGCGAACCGAGAACGGCCAATTCGCTAATCGACGCGTCAGGGTAGGAGGTCTGTCCACCCCCGACGAATGTTTGGTTGGCTTGGTTCTTTGAGGTTCCCAAATGGGGTCTCGGCCTGACGCGCCACCGTGCCCCAGACGACCAGACGTCTGCACGCCTGCCCCCCAGCACGGCCAAGGTGATCCCACGTGGCCTCCAAGGTGTCGCCCGGCACGGCCAAGGGCGGCCCCGGGAGAGACCAGCGTGGCCCCCAACATGTTTCTGGACAGACGGGAGGGGGGATCAGAGAGGCGCGTGGACGGAGGAGGCAGGCGGGAGGCGGGGGGCGAGAGGTGGGAAAATGGGGAGAGGGAAAAGAGGTCTTGGTGACGGTGGTGGTTTCCCTTTCTAGCTAGCGATGCGCCCGCGGAGTGCCATCGCAGGCAGGGCTTCGAATCGCAAGCTCGCTGCGGTTCTCGGTGCTCTCTGCACTGCGCTCAAGCCAGCCCGCGCAGGGTGATATGTACCCAAACGGATCGGAGGAGGGAGGGGGAGAGGGGCACAGGACCGAGGTTGGAGGAAGGATGCTGGATGACGGAGGAGGAGGAGGATGAGGAGGAGGAGGAGGAGACGGATGAGGAGGAGGAGGAGGAGGAGGAGGAGGAGGAAGAGGAGAACCAGCAGCAGGACAACGATCATGGAGGAGGGGGTAGGAGGAGGGAGAAGGACGACGATGACGAAGAGAACGACGACGACAACGACGAGGACGACGACGACGGCGAGAACTGGCTGGACAGAAAGGCACCGATATCGCTACTTCCCGGATCTCTCTAGGAATGCGTTCCGACCAGGATTTCGAAGCGAATCCAGCCGTGACGATGGAGCCTCCTCCCAGGAGGCCCAAAGATGCGAAAACGACGGAAGGGTTGCGGTATCGGTACGTTTCCCTCCTCTGAACGAGGAGGACAACGACGACAAAAACAACGACGACGAGGACGAGGACGACGACGGCGACGGCGACGGTGACGACGACGACGACGACGACGACGACGACGACGGCGACGACGACGGCAACGGCGACGAGGGCGGCGACGACGAGGACGACGACGGCCACGGCGTCTCTCCTGCAGCTCGACTGGCGAGCCCTGCAGCTGGAACTGCTGCGCCAGCTCCTGCGCAGGGGCGCGCCGCTGCGGCGCTCGAGAGGTGCCGTCACGACATGTGACACCCCGTCCATGCAGAGCGCCTAACCGGATCGGATAGGATCGGAGGAGGAGGAGGAGGAGGCGGAGGAGGAGGAGGAGGAGGAGGAGGAGGAGGAGGAGGAGGAGGAGGAGGAGGAGGAGGAGGAGGAGGGAGGAGGAGGAGGAGGAGGAGGAGGAGGAGGAGGAGGAGGAGGAGGAGGAGGAGGAGGAGGAGAGGAAGAGGAGGAGGAGGAGGAGGAGGAGGAAGAGGAGGAGGAGGAGGAGGAGGAGGAGAAGGAGGAGGAGGAGGAGGGTGCGTACATCTCCGCCGATCGGATGTTTCAGCAGGCGCGGTTCCATCGACGTCGGCCCTCGGAGGCTGTCTGCGGGCTGTGTGGGGCCATCAGACATGGACCTGGGGCGCAAAAAACGACCCCGCGGACACAGTCGGGACCTCGGGGGGGCCCTCCTGATGGGCAAAACCTCGTAGGAAGGGCACCCGATTCGGCCAGCGCCGATGCTGAGTTTGACCTGCCAGGAGTTCAACCCAAACCCGAGGAACGAATTGAGCAGGACAGGGACGCTCAGCGAACGCACAGGTCTGCTTCGTAAGGGCGAACTCTGGCGGTCGGGGAGTTCCTTGTCTCTCGTCTCTCTTTCTTCGCCCACTCCGGCCGCCTGAGGCCCCGCCTTCCTGTGCCCTGTCTCCCTAATTGAAGCTGTGCGTAGCCCGCCTAGCTTTTAGCAGAAGAGGTTCGCTCTCGCCCCGCAGATCAAAAATTGTCTCTCGTCTCTCGACTCTTCTTCGTAGCGAATACCTCTCTCTTGCCCGCCATAAGCCCCCCCTCCTCCGAGCAACAGCGCTGGACCGATCGCCAGATGCCGGCCGACGATGGGCCGATCTGGCGGCGTTCCACCGTGAACGCCCGCGGCGGGGCCCCCGCCCAGGGAACTGTCCGGAAACGGCTCGGGAGAAGGCGTTGGTCCTGAGGAGAGCCCCTCCAGTCGTGGGGTCGGGAGCGGCCAAGAGGGGGGTGTCCAAGAGGGGGGGGTGCAAATCATGACAAGCAGCACGTGCGCGGCCCAGCGGGGGGGGCCAGGGACGTCATGAAACAAGAAGAGGCGCCATGAAATCAGGGGAAATATCATGGCACCCGCCATGATATCCACCCCCTTCCTAGTCATCACCCCCCTCTTTGCCGCCCCCGATGGGGATCAGCGAGGGGGGAACGCCGGGGCCGACGGAGGGGCACACATCCGGCGGATGTGGGCTGACCGCATCAAGAGGGGGGCGCCACGAGGGAATAGGGGTCCTCAGGGAAGAGGGTCCCTGGCTGCTTCGCCGTCTCCAAGGTTCTCGGGGCCCCTTTCGGGCCCAGGGACCGGTAGAAAGCGACTCAGGATGAGGAACTGGTCCTGAGGAAAGTGAAGGGGCCCTGGGACACACAAATAAATACACACAAATAACAGGACCCCCCTTATTTCCTCATATTTTCCTGGTTTTTGTCTTCCCCCCCACTTCCCATATTTTCCCATATTTTCTGGGGAGTCGACGACTAATTGTGTCTGTGTGTTTTTTCCCCTCCTGAGAAAGCCTCTCCAGTTCGGCCTTGAACGATCGCGGCTCTCCGATTGCGCGGGATCGCTCGGATATCAGCCGATTCTGGGCCACCGGTCGCCGGCCACGTCGACACGAGACGAACCCACCGTACCCCCCCTCGAGGCGAGGGCGGGTGCCCCCGAGACCCGACGGAGGCGGCACCCATGCCACCCCTCACGCCCCCTGCCTCCGAAGCTCCCTCCGAAGCCTGGCCACCTTCTGACAAGGCCTGCCTCCTCTCGCATGCCCCTCGCTGGGCCCGCAAGACCCGACGGAAACGACTTCCAGACCTCTGGGGACCTCTCGGTGTCTCCGCGCAGCTCCTGCGGAGGAGGAAGAAGAGGAGGAGGAGGAGGCCGAGAAGGAGGAGGAGGCCGAGGAGGAGGAGGAGGAGGAGGAGGAGGAGGAGAGGCGTGTTTGCCCGAGAGCCGGGCACAGCGCCCAGGGCGGGCCGCGCCGAGCGGGGCGCGCCGCGCAGGCGCCGCCCGCGATCCCGCACCGTCAGGTGCAACAAGGACCGCAACACCAGCGTCAACTTCGACAACTACGGGGAAGGTACCCCGCTCGCCCGCTTGGCACAGGCGGGCCAGACGCCGCAGGGCTGCGGCAAGAGTGTTGTTGCGGATCTCCAAAGCAAAAAGTTATTTGGACAAGCATCACAGCAGAATGGCAAGGTCTTTATCTCGGAATCGAGGTCGTGACCGTTACGAGCGTCGTGATCGTGAGCGAGCTGGTCAGGAGCCAAGAGATGGAAGGCAGCGCCATGCAAACAGGTGGCAGTGTCGGCAGTGCGGATTGACCAACCCGAACAGCTCGAAGACATGCTCGTGCCAGGACAGGCCTCCAAGGGCAAGAACGCCAAAAGAAAAGGCTCCGCCGAAGAGATTGCCGCACATCCAGAAGCTCATTGATGACATCCCTATCGCTATGCCTGATGAAGCGAGGGAAATGGAGTGTTGGGAAGAGCCGCCGACAGACAATCAGGCGGCAAGAGCTTTTCGGTACAAGATCTACGCCAAGCAGACACAGGTGGCAACAGCAGTACACGCAGCAGAGAAAGCAGGCATCGAGATGGACAACGAGAAGGACATCATCGCGACCCTCAAGTACACCTTGGACATAATGAAGCCTGCAGCAGCACGAGTTGAAGGGCATCGCAAAAATGTGGATCGTTGGAAGGACAAGATCAAAGAGCTGAAGAAAGAACAAGTCATGCTCAACTATAAGAAAGAAGACGCAGAGCAGCAACTCGAACGAGCATGTGCAGCATTGAAAGAAGCTATCAAAGATCGAGACGGCGAAGAAGAAGAAGCAGACAATGAAGAAGATAATGATTCGGAAGCAGAGTATCTGAAAGCTTTAATGGATTTGGAACCCCGGCTTGCAGTACCGTTACCATCTACGCCGAAGGAATTGAGGAAGGGAACTCCACCAGAATCAAAGGTATCCAGCAGCTATGTTCCTCAAGCACCTCAGCCGCAGCACGCCGACATGATAGCGAGCCATCAGATCCAAAAACTCATGGAGATGATTCAGCAGCAGCAGCTTCAGAATGGTAATCTCCAGGCGTCTATCCACCAGCTGCAGATGGACAACGCCAACCAGAAGACCATGTATGACCAGCAGATGGCCATGCAGCAGTATTACATGCAGCAGTTGATGGATAAGCATCCAGAAGAATGGTCACCAGCTACCTTTCCCGACGAAGAAGTGGAGATGGCTCAGAGTTGGATGCAAAAATCTCAAAAAGAGGCAGCTGCAGCACACGCCCGCGCGGCAGCGAGCGGCAGCTTGCATGTGGTGGACACCAGTACCAACACAAACGAGACCAAGGATCGCAAGCAGAAGGTGGTAGCGGACATGGCCGATCGTGTGAAGGCAGAGGAAGCAAAGCGGCAAAAAAAGCAGAATGAGAGCCAAGAGGTACCAGTGGTAGAGCCAGTCAAAATATCCGAAAGCCCAGCAGAAGGCGTTCCCAAACCGACCATCACGGGCGAGATCGAGATGGAGGCGAAACCAGAAAAAGAAGTTGAAGTACCTGTCGTATCTCAAGATCGCTATCCAGAACTTCCAAGCCAGGACGTCCTCTCAGCCCTGACCGCCAGCCAGCTACGAGCGGCGCTGCAAGCAGTCGGATCGGATACGGACTCGGTACCAGCAGAACAGCCATCTCCGGAATTTGTATGTTCACCAACAGAAGTGGCAAGCGAAGTGGGAGAAAATGATCAACATCAAGTGCCAGTACGTCCAGACGGAACAGCCACGCCCGAGCAGCGTACCCCGAATGGCATCCCACGGGCGTTGTCACCAAAATCACCGATTACTACGACGCAGCCTTTAACCCAAGATGATGAACGAGATGGAGAAAATGAGAAGCACCGCCATCGGAGATCGCCTACACCAGCGAGGAGAGAGAGATCGCGCGAAGGTTTTCGCAAAAGAGGAGGCCCAGAAAGGTACAGCATCGCCAGTGGAGATACGCCCCCTCGCGAACCTGAACGAGCTCAATCACTTCCCCGATTTGGTACCGCTTTTCGTGACGGAGAGAGCAGTTCATCAGGGAAGCCACCGCCAGCACGCATCGCCAGAAGGTCCATGCTCGCCTTCGGCAGGTTCGCGCGCACGGGGTCCCTCGGAGCGACGGCCAGCACAGGCCGGGGCGATCGCACCATTGACGGGATCGCGGGCAGCCGCTAAGAGCGGCAAGCAGGTTCACTTTGGACCTGTCGAGTGCATGGAATTCAAAGTTGGAAGCAGACGGAAGACACTGCGTGAAGCATCACCCGCAGCTGATCGGACGACTTTAACGCCTTCCAGTATAGACAGGCCACCAGCGGGCCTCACATCCGCTGTACGAAAACAACCTAGATGCTCGGAGGTACTTGACTCCGAGTGCCACGACACCATGGGTGCGCAGTACACGTCTGAGATTGGGTTGCCAGGCAGTTGTACCAGATCCGTCGGATTAGCCGATGTTACAGATCATGCACCTCATTCGGACCTTTATCTAGATGCTCGTTCGTCCCTGCCGCTATCCTGGAACCCCCCTACATGGCTCGACCAGGAGGACAAGCAGCAGAAGGCCAAGATGAACCCATCCCTTAGCCGAGAAGAACGAGCAGCACTGGCGTACGAACATTCCGTAGGGCAAACCACGAAGATGTTCAATAGTTTGAAGTCTGGCATTGGAAAGATTACAGAAGTTGCCAGGCAGTTTCGAGATCGAGTTTCACAAGCATCACGAGCAGCAGCAGAACCAGTACCGAAAGGTGGAAATGCAGCGGCGGATACGTTGCACTGCCGTGCCGAGATTCCCGAGCCGATCACGGTACGCCTGGATCGGAAAAGCACTTGGATAAACTTACAGGAATGCCATTCAGAAATGAAG